ACAACACTATTTAAAATGTGTTAATTATGTATTTTTAAACATTGTAATGGTATATTTATCTAAGTTCATTTTTTATTACTTTCATATATAAGTTCAATGGTAGTTCAGGATTAAAGTTTTCCCAGTATGTATAACTTGTAAAAATATAATATTTTGTGAATTCGGAAATATAAATATTGATGTGAAATTTATATCAAAATCAACATGAGAGATATAGAATAGAAATGCAAATTTAATGGTACAAAAAAAAGTGATGATTGAGATCTCATTAAAATTATATATGCCTATGTCAGTCAATAGATTTAGTAATATAAAGATTAAATGGATTATTAAACACCACAATTCTAAATGTAAAACATTGGTTCGTCACTTAAAATCAAATTGTTTACTGAATTCAATTATATATTGAGAATCTGATTAGATAATGGTCCTACACGTGCAATAAAAACAGGTAATTTGTTTTCTTTATTCAAAAATCAAACGATTGTTCATTCCATAGTTAAAAAACATAAAAATTCAGTAAAATATAAAACTATAAAGAAGAGATTAATTTCAATAAGGTAATGAAAAGAAAGCTACTTAAATAACAGTAATCAATGGTGATGTTCAATATTACATCAACAGAAACAACAGGAATTACATGGCAGTTCGGCCGATGCTCAATTGCAGGGTGCTTCAGAGGTCCTGTTTTCGTAATGAAACTCCGGCTTCAGACCTCTCTCAGCCTGCAGCCGCTAGTTCCACTCTTGTCTTTTCATGGATGCTTTCTGTATTCTCCCCTGGCATGTCCAATTGTTGGTTCCTCTCTCTCTCTCCTTTCCATATCCCTATCTCTTTCTTTCTCTCTATCCCTCTCCTCTCTATCATTCTTTTTCACTGTACATCCAGATCTAGCTTTCCCTCTCTTTCTTTCATTCACACACTCTCTCTCTCTCTCTCCCTCTCTCTCTCGCCCTCCCTCCCTCCCACTCCCACTCTCTCTCTCTACGGCCCTCCCTCCTTACCCTCTCTCACTCGTTCTCTCTCACACACTCTCTCTCTCTCTCATTCTCTTTCTCTCTCTCTCTCTCTCTCTCTCTCTCTCTCTCTCTCTCTCTCTCTCTCTCTCTCTCTCTCTCTCTCTCTCTCTTTCTTTCTTTCTTTCACTCTCTCTCTCTCTCTCTCTCTCTCTCTCTCTCTCTCTCTCTCTCTCTCTCTCTCTCTCTCTCTCTCTCTCTCGCCCTCCCTCCCTCCCACTCACTCGCTCTCTCTCATCTCTCTCTCATCTCTCTCATGCCCTCCCCCCCTCTTCTCTCTCTCTCTCTCTCTCGCCCTCCCTCCCTCCCACTCTCTCTCTCTCCCTCTTTCTCCAGTGGAACTATAAAGAAGAGATTAATTTCAATAATGTAAAGAAAAGAAAGCCACTTAAATAACAGAACATTAATCAATGGTGATGGTCAATATTACATCAACAGAAACAACAGGAATTACATTGCAGTTCGGTCGATGCTCAATTGCAGGGTGCTTCACAGTTTCTGTTTTTGTAATGGAACTGCGGCTTCAGACCTCTCTTTACCTGCAGCCACTACTAGTTCCACTCTTGTCTTTTCGAGGATGCATTCTGTATTCTCCCGTGACGTATACAATTGTTGGACCCTCTCTTTTTTTCCCTTCTTTTCCCCCGCTGTACCTTCGGGCAACCCTATACCAGCGGTACATCACATTTTCTAACTGAATAATATGCCACGAATTTAAGGATTCAGTCACCAGGACTGGTAACCAAGCTGGCAGGTCTGTTCTCACTTTAATCCGAATTTTTGAAGCCAAAGTGAGGCAAGATTCAGTCTTTAAATTTGATTGGGGCATTAATTATTACAGGTATACCTACACTAATGGGCTGTCTGCAACTGGAGGGCTGTTACCACCAAACAGGACTCCAGTAGCTTCCTACCTACTTATCGTGGGCCTATATTACAGTTTATAAATATTACTATTTCTAAATCTTCTGATAACAATAAAAATATAAACAACAACAATTAATAAGATTAAACTATACAATAATCTGGTATTTATGTATTTGGTATATCACTGGTTTAATCTCTCCTGTCTTGCCCTTTTTTCATGGAGTATCCTCCTAGCATATTTCTTAAAGGCATTAATTATCTCAGATGTCTCCAAAAGCTTGTCCAGGGACCTAGGAGGCCATTCCGACATGGATTACTCTCCTACCAATGCTTGTCGGGCGCCAGTGTACAGCGGACATTCCAAAAGCATGTGTCTGGCATCCTCAACAGCCTTGCAGTAACAATTCGGGTTTGCTCTTCTATGAAAAAAATGTAACTTTTCATTTATATCTCCATGGCCTGTGAGGAGTTAAACAGTCCAGAAATCATTCTCCACCCAGTCTTTCTTGATTCTTCTCCTAACATTTGGGAAGAAATCGTGGGCCAGTCTTTCAGTCTGGGATGCATCCCACCTTCTCTGCCATTCAGAATGGACTAGTTCTTCTTTTCTGTCGGCTACCTCATCGTACCTTCCACTGGAGCACACAAAGCAGCTTGTTCCAACATTTGCTGGCAGTCCTCTCTTTATTCTACACTTGGCTATAGATATTTATATTTTTAGCTCTATAGGCAATTAGGCTGCTCCTCTTAGGTCCCTCTCTCTCTCCCTTTTCATATCCCTATCTTTTTCCCTCTCTCTCTCCCTTTCCATACCCCTCTCTTCTCTATCATTCTCTTCCTCTGTACATCCCGATCTAGCTTCCCCCCTCTCTCTTTCACTCAATCTCTCTCTCTCATTCTATCTCTCTCTCTCCCTTTCCATATCCCTATCTCTTTCTCTCTCTCTATCCCTCTCCTTTCTATCATTCTCTTCTACTGTACATCCATATCTATCTTTCCCCCTCACTCTTTCACTCCCACACTCTCTCTCTCTCTCTCTCTTTCTCTCTCTCACTCTCTCTCCCACCCTCCATCCCTCCCTTCCACTCACTCTCTCTCTCCCTCCCTCCTTCTCTCTCTCCCTCCCTCCACCCTCCCTTACTCTCTCTCTCTCTCTCTCTCTCCCTCCACCCTCCAATACTCTCCCTCTCTCTCTCTCTCACTCCCTTCCGCTCACACTCTCTCTCTCTTCCTCACTCCCTCCTCTCTCTCACTCTATCTATCCCTCCCTCCCTCCCTCCCTCCCTCCCTCCCTCCCTCTCTCCCTCCTCTTTCTCACTCTCTCTCCCTCTCTCTCTCTTTCTTTCTTCCCCCTCACTCATGCTCTCTCCCTCCCATCCTCTTCCTCCTCTCTCTCTCATTCTATCTCTCGCTCTTGTGTTTTTCAAGGGCACTTTCTGTATTTCCCTCTGGCGCGCCTAACAGTTGGTCTCTATCTCTCACCATTTCCTCTCTACCATTCTCTTCCACTATACATCTAGATCCTCCGTCTCTCTCTCTTCCTCTTTCCTTTTGTCTTTAAGGTTAGCTCGGCCGATGGTGAACTGCTGGCTGCTTCAAAGGTCCTGATAGTGGAACTGTGGTTTCTGACCCCTCTCAGCCTGCAGCCGCTAGTTCAAATCTTGTCTTTTTCAAAGGCACTTTCTGTTTTTCCCTCTGGCGCGCCCAACAGTTGGTCCCTATCTCCCCCTCTTTCCCTATCCCTATTTCTTTCTCTCTCTGTAACCTTCTCCTATCTATCATTCTCTCTCTCTCTCTCTCTCTCTCTCTCTCTCTCTCTCTCTCTCTCTCTCTCTCTCTCTCTCTCTCTCTCTCTCTCTCGCCCTCCCTCCCTCCCCCCCCCCCTCTCTCTCTCTCTCTCTCTCTCTCACTCACTCAATCTCTCGTTCTTGTCTTTTTCAATAGCACTTTCTGTATTTCCCTCTGGTGTGCCCATGGGTTGATCTTTATCTATCTGTCTCTCTCTCACTCTCACTCTCTCTCTCTCTCTCTCTTTCTCTCTCTTTCATTCTTTCTCTCTCTCTTTCTCTCACTCACTTACTCAATCTATCTTCCGCACTTTTTTTTTTTCAAGAACACTTTCTGTATTTACCTCTGGTGTGCCCACTGATTGGTCCTTCTCTCTCACTCTCTCTCTCTCTCTCACTCTCTCTCTCTCTCTCTCTCTCTCTCTCTCTCTCTCTCTCTCTCTCTCTCTCTCTCTCTCTCTCTCTCTCTCTCTCTCTCCCCCTCCCTCCCTCCCTCCCACTCTCCCTCCCTCCCTCTCCCTCCCTCCCCCCTCCCCCCTCTCTCTCTCTCACTCTATCTCTCACTGTTGTCTTTTTCAAGGGCACTTTTTGTATTTCCTTCTGGCGGGTCCAACTGTTGGTCCCTATTTCTATCGCTTTCGCTATCCCTATCTCTTTCCCTCTCTCTTTCCCTTTCCATATCCCTATCTCTATCCCTCTCCTCTCTATCATTCTCTTCCACTGTACATGTAGATCTTGCTCCCCTCTCTCTCTCTTTCTCTCTCTCTTTTGCTCTTTCCTTTTGTCTTTAATGTTTGCTCAGCCGATGGTGAATTACTGCCTGCTTTAAAGGTCCTGTTATCGTAATGGAACTGCGGCTTCTAACCCCTCTCAGCCTGCAGCTGCTAGCTCAAATCTTGTCTTTTTCAAGGAAGCTTTCCGCATTAACCTCCATCTGTATTTGAATTCAAGTACTCAAGTTATAGCAATATAAATACTTATTCTCAAACTTATATTAAAAATCTTATTTCTCATTAAATGATTGGTTTGGAAACTTCAGATAATACCTTTTATTGAAATAATACTTGAATTATAATGTATTTGTAATAAAGGTATTTCTTAGTTACGCGTTGGACCATTTTCTATTACATTAAAAATAGAATTACGAATTGTAATATACATTTATATGTAACTTATTTATCAATAGAAGTATTTCAACTATTTTTTTATATTGTAGTAACACCAAAGTCTTACATAAATACACATATACACACACTCACTCACTCACACACACACATATATTATACAACCACACAAACACAAACACACACATACACGCACACACAAATATATATATATATATATATATATATATATATATATATATATATATATATATATATATATATAATGTGTGTACATAATATATGTATTAGTATTACTAAACTATCAACTATCTTTTATTCACTGGGCACCAGAGGACTTTGCCTCTGCAGCACTTGCGCCATCACTCCCACTGTCGCCATTTTGTAGCTGGGCTAGTTGCTTAAAAAGAGGACTGTTAACAAATCGTGGGTAAGAATCCCTGTGCATCAGGGTATAGATTTGTAGCTGAGCCTCGTCAAATGTATGTGGCGTAGGAGAAATCATATTTCTGTTAACAATTTCTCGCACTCTAGAATCCAAGCTGACCTAAAACAATGAAAATGAAGTTAAAATTATTGAATTTTAATTTGTTTGCATAGGGTTCTATTAAGCATTTGCAATCAAGCTTGTTATATAAGCTAAAGACAAGCTTTTCTATAAAAAATATAACGCTTTCCAAGCCATTCAACTCAAATATTATCTTTTCTATTTCATTTATAATCCATTTAAAATTGAATTAATCGAGAAATTTGTTCTCATAATTATTATTTGTATTCAATAATCTTAATTCTAATTTAAAAATAAATTCTTGCAATTATCAATGAATATTATCAATTATCAATGAATATACCAAACAGTGTCGGCTTTAGAGCGCGGCGCCGCCTGATATTCAGGGTTAAAATAATTAACTTTACCTATAAATAAAGTAACTGAATCGGGGAAATATTGAATGAAATATCACATAACGTAAAATAGCTTAAGAAATAAATTTATTTCTTTTAGGGGAGGGGAGATGACTTTGCCATCTCCTACATTCCTAGAGGCTGCCTAATGTCTAAGGTCGGAACTTATACCAAACATCTAGTTTAAAATGTAAAAAGTTTACTGTAACTTGAAGTATGTTTATGTTATTTTTGATAAAAGTTTAATATTAAAATTATTGCCGTAAAAAGTAATATATTAGTGAAAACAGCTCTTATCACAAAATAAATATTTTAGTTTAATTAGAAATATGTAATTCAAAAATTTAAAATAACGTAGAAAAAAGGTCCATGTAACGATAAAATAAAATGAGACTTAATTAGATCTATATTTATTTAAATAGATGTTGGTAGTTAAACATTTTTCTTTATTTCAAGAATAATACATACAGTTTACCCAGGGGTGCCCATCCCCTCCAAAAACCTCCCCTCCTTCCTCCCAAGATATTTTATTGTTCTCCTCTTGTTAAAAACAGTGCAAGCTAAAGTAGAATTTAAAAAATCATATCCCATATACTATTACACTTTCAGTGTTCTGTTCTTTGTTTTCCACTTGTCCCCTGGTTTGAAACTTTTCATGCCGAAAATTCATAACCCTTTCGAACTGTGTCCCCTCAAAAATTTAAAACCCCGTCAAAACGTGCTCCCCCTCAAAAATTTAAAACCCCATCAAAATGTGCCCCCCCTCAAAAATTTAAAACCCCGTCAAAATGTGCCCCCCTCAAAAATTTAAAACCCCATCAAAATGTGCCCCTTCAAAAAAATTTGAGGCGCAACTTGCGCCATGAAACCCCCTTCTGGCACCGCTCAGTTTGCCTATTATACATAACTATGGAGCAGACCTGAGCTAAAATTATTTTAAAATACACATATTTCCTGTTTTTAAAATACATGTATTTTCTGTTTTTAAAATAAACTGTATTTTAAATTTCATGTATTTAAAATAACTAGAATAAGTAATTTAAATACAAAATATTTTTCTTATTTTGTATTTAATATCCAAAAAAAGAAATTCGATTACAAAATACTTGCATCTAAGGTACCTAGTTGCACTTTAAAACTGCTTCCTATAAAAAAAAAATTATTAATTTTTTTTTTAATAAATTAAATTTATTTATTTATTTATTATTTTTTTTTATTTATTTTTTTTTTGTAAGGAAAGCAATAATGAAAAGCGAGCACTGTGGATATAGTTTTAAAACTACTAATAATTTTATTTTGTTCTTTTGTAGCTTTATATTATTTGAAATTAGCTTATTTTTTTTATTTTATTTTTTAAATTTGTAAATATGGTGTGAATGTGCTCTCAGAACTCTATTATAAATGTCCTTTATTGAGACAGATTGTAATATTTATCAATAAACAAATAAATAATAAAAAAAAAAACTACTAATAGAGAAAATATACTTTATTTAATAAATATTTTATTTATGAAGAATTCGCTATAGAAATTATAAGGTTAACGCACCATTGATGTACATAGATAAGGAAATTTTAGTATTTTTTGGCTTATGCAGCCGTAATTATTATAGTTATCAACTTCGCCGTTGGTCATTTAGAATTTCTAGGATTTCCTTTTTCTATTTAACGCTTTAAAATGTTGACTTAAATTGAAAAAAATATTCAGTTTCGCTCCTATAATCTTGATTTAAAAAAACCAAATAAAAACACGTTTTTGCACTAGTCATGGACACTCCGAAATTCAATTGTTCTAGTGATGGATGGGGGTCGGTACCAGTAATGGACACCTCAGAAAAAATCTAAAATCTTTATAAAACTATAAAAAACTTTATAAATTAAGTAATTTGTTTACAATTTATTTATGGTGTAAACAAATATATATATAAACAATTAATCATAAAATCTTGAGATGCTTAAATGTTTATTTATTATTTAAAAAAATGTTGATTGCCCTGCCTTATTTTCAAATCACTTTTATTAATATTATAATGGATAAATATATGTTCAAAAGTGAACATGTATACTATTGGGAAATTAGTAACGTCGGTTACTTATGTTTCCGAAAACTAGTGGTTTAGGCAATTGATATAATATATTTTTGACGTTTATAATACTGACTTCTTGACTACTTTCAACAGTAGTCAAATACAAGAGTTCATTTGATGAATCTTAATGTCTGTTTCTCTCAACTTTTCTGTGACCCTATAAACATTCATTGTTATCAATAATGAACCATTTTATTTAATCAAGAAAACAAAAAGTTAACTTTATTACTCAAAAAGTACATACTTTTTGGTTATTATATGTGTATGTGCATCTATTTGAAAGATAAAGAAATTATCTAAAAAACAGAAGACAAAAATATCGAAATCAGCGAACCTGGTGGAGAGAAATGGTGTTTTGAATCTGTTTTATTGGAAAGTCGGTTTCTTCTTATTTTATAACTGAAATTTTTTTTTCTATGGAAAGTCGATATTTTATCGGGAAAATAATTTAATTTTTCGATTTTTTAAAACGAAAAATGAATAATAAAAACCATTTAATTTTATGTTTTCTGTACATATGTTGTGAATGTGTTCATATATCACTATAATTATTGTCCACGTGACAGATTATTATATTTTTAAATAAAAAGAAACAATGTTTTATGTAATTTTTTCGGAGAACTGTTAGAAATAACGTTGTGTGACACGCCACACGTACCTATTTGATTTAGAAATATTTGACTGTATTTACAGTCAAATATGATCAAAACATAGAAACAGATAAAATCGATGGACATGTGGACACGGTGGGTCCTAGTAATGAACATGGTGATGGAAACCCCTGTATAAGACTGGTTAGAGATGTTTTAGAGAAAAACTAAGGACGCCACAAGATTTTCCGTTGTTACTAGAATCAGAAATTACAAAAACATGATCAATTTTCGTAAAAGTGCAGAGCACTAGTAATGGGCATGGATGTCCATAACTAGATTAGGACCGATTTTTGATCCAGTGATGGAGCTCCCTAAAAGTCAATAAAAGGTGATTTAAATTAAATTTAATGCTAAAATCGAATAGCTGAAGTTCTTAAATGGTAAATTGTGTATTTTCATAGTGAAAACTCTAAAATTTACACAGCTATGAACAAGGGTACCCGCAAGGGGGTTTCATGTTTGAGGGGAGCACCTTTTGACGGGCTTTTGAATTTTTGAGGGGGTCACATTTCGACGGGGTTATGAATTTTCGGATTGAAAAGTTTCAAACCAGTGGACAAGAGAAAAGCATGGTACAGACCACTGAAAGTGTAATTGTATAAGAACCTATGGTTTTTAAAATTTTACCTTAGTTTGCACTGTTTTTAAGAAGAGAAGGGAAATAAAATATCTTAGTAGGAGGAGGGGGGGGGGATCATGCGCCATCAACCTTGAGGAGGATGGGCACCCCTGCCTATGAATATAAATGTTCAACTTACTCTTATCAAAATCAAATTCCTCTCGTATCCAATCCCTACAATCCAAAATCCTTCGTAAAATCCTTAATGCTCCCTACTTTGTCACAAATAAAATCATCCATAATGACCTTAATGTACCATATGTTTCCGATTTAGCTCAATTCAGATACCTGTCCTTTTATAATAAACTTCTGAACCATCCTAACCCTCTCGTTTCCAACCTTGCTTCCTCTTCTATTCCTGATAACCCTCCGAGGCTTCTGAAAAGAATATGGCCTCGGGACCTTCTAATATAGAAATTGGAGTGCTACCAATGGGTAATTTCTCCTCATGTTGTACATGTCGTATTACTTGTTCATATTTACTTGTTGTATTTATTATTAATTACAGTAGTAAATTTCGTTAATAAAAAAAAAAAATACTTTTATCAAAACTGTTTGTAGAAAGGTACAAACACACACTCATCTGAAGAGTACTATAGAAACAACAATGATAGACATTATATAATCTTATTTTTGAACTTTATTCCTACAGTTGTCAATAGAGAACACCGTTCTTCAATCTAGATAAAACTGGAACCTTTAAATCAACAATGAAGGTAAATAAATTCATTACCCCCCGAGCATTACGGATGCGTTCATCCTAATTGACCAACAAACAAACAACTAAATAGGGTAAGGACATATTATTTCCGAATTAAACTTTTTAACAATTAGCTTTTAATTAATAATATTAATGCCTAATTTTAATACTAATATTAATTAATAATACCCGTTCCTTAAACCATTGATCATCCAACAACTTCATTCTGGGTGCATCCAACAAATTAAATAATGAAAATAGTCGTTCAACTGTCCACGATGTGGGCAGCGGAGTGCTATATTTTATAAAAAAAAAAAAAAAAACCATCACAAGGTACTCATTTGTTAATTTTGACGTCGATCTCGTTGAAATGTTAGGGTTTCAATTCAAACCCAATTCAATTTATACAGAGCGTGAACTGTGTTTATATCGAGAGAGATATTTGAATTATTTACCACCTCTAGGTTTAGTCATTTGCAGGCTCAGTAAGTTCATCAATAATAAATATATTTAAACATTTCTCTTCTCTCATTATATTAAGGGATTTGTAATTCGGTAGCATAAAATATGAATTTTAATTTATAGTAATAATTTTACAGAAAAAAAAAATTATTTTTGATAATTGCTTATCAATTTTAATTAACGAAACTTTACTGGAGATTTTTACTTTTATCACTTTTGTTTTAACATTTTTTTTTTTAATATCTCTTGAACATTTCACTGTAATTTTCAACTTCATTGTAACAATAAAATGAGTTTCAGCGTTAATATAAAGTGGCACTTCCGGTTAGCCGATTTTAAAGTAAAAGTTGCTGTCACATCTAAGGCATATACCTAGCTTAAATACGTAATATCAGTTTCCTACGACTTTTCATTTTTGAGGTTGACTGCTAACATACACACACACAGAGACACACCGACCATTTTTCGAGACTTGGTTATTTGGACTGATTATACCCCAAAAACGTGTATTTCCATTGAAAACTCAGATTAAAAAATTTTCACGATCGCAATACTTAACCTTACTATATATTACATATATACGTAAATGAGAGTAAAATTAATATATTTCTTCTGATTACTTCGAGCATTTCTTCCTTGTTCTTCGGGAGGAAATTCATTAAAATCAAAAAAGTAAAAATACATTTGTTTTTTCCAACAATATAACTATGGATAATATACTCTTACATCCTTCCAATGAAAAAATCCTATAATCTGTCAAAATTTGTAAATAAATATTTAGAAAATGGTAGATAGCAGTTTTATTGCCAAAAATAATTTTATTAAAAATTTAGCACCATCGACCTTAAAAAAAATCAAATTAAAGCTCAATTTTCATGGGCGAGTTTTGTATACGGATGATTAGCCTTTTCAAAAGAAAATACTGTTACAAACAATGTATTTTAGATATACTGCTTAAAATACAAATTACAAAAGTGTATTTTGTATTGTATTTTAAATATTGCCCAAGTCTGCTATGGAGGCTGTACACGTCGAATCCTGCAAGTGGTTTCAGGAAACTGCGCGTCTTAGAGATAAGAATTGAAGAAACAAAGGGAGGATCAAGCAAATGACCTATACACTCAAGTAAGTCGCAATGGTTTTGTTTATCTCCAAACTTTTCAAATCTCTTTTATCTTAAAAATCCCTTCCTGTAACCAGTATTAAACTAGAAAATTGTTTTAATAAGTATTACCAAATCAAATACAGATATTCAATTTTTCTTTTAATAATATAAACTAGAAACTTAATAATCTTGATATAAAACGGACCAATTGTTTTTTTCATAATTATAATAATAAATGAAGAGAAGAATAGTTGGGGTGTTCAGTCAAAAAGGAAGGCAAAAATAAATCTTGATAGACTTTACAATATCTCAATTTTCTATCTAACTACTCCATTCTCAATGTTTTAATTTTACTATTTATTTTCATTTCTTATATAACTTTATATTTCTTTTTTATGTTTTACATTTTATTCTAAGATTCCCAATGTAACACTTTTGTCACCCCTTTTTGATTATGCCTACTTCATCATTCCACACTATGTAACAGTTTTTATTATTTATCTCTTAGTTCTTAGTCATTATTCTAACAATTTCATTTTACTTTATATCTATTTTTTTTTTCATTTTTTATTATCTTTTTTTATTATCTTTTTTACCATCATTACTTATGTTTCTCATACCTTGTTATCTGGTTATTTTCTTAGCCCTGATGAAGGCCTGAACTTCAGGTCGAAACGTCGGCATATGTAAAAAATAAATGTTATAATTTATTTTTGCCTTCCTTTTTGACTGAACACCTCAACTATTCTTCTCTTCATTATCCACGACAGTCAACCAATTACCAATTATAATAATAAATACGCGAGCAACATGGGAAATATAACAGAGCATGATAACCCCCTTTTCTGTCATTTTAAAAACATTAATAAAACGTGTTTTAATTATATGTCCGAAATAAAAATAAAACTAATCATACAAAAAGCAAAAAATAGAAATACCAAAAAACTTGTGAATCCTTAACGCTAATAATACATCGGAAACACACCAAAGTATAATAGAAACTACTATATTATGTAATAATATAGATACTCCAAAATAAATAAAGCCATGACTCAAATAAAATAATATAAAGATACGACAAACGCCTTGGATTCATAAGTTAAAAAATACCATTCCATCATCTCTAACCAATGTAACAGTTTTTCAAAAACCTTGAACAAAAAATTTTATTTTTTTTTTTAAATTATTTTAATGGAATTTACAACTGTATTACATAGAAAATACAATAAGTAAATGTGAAATTGGTAATATGACATGTACAACATGAAGAGAAACTACCCATTGGTAGAACTCAAATTAAAGTTCTATATTAGAAAATCCCGAGGCCATCTTCTTTTCAGACGCCTCGGCGGGAACAAAAATTACATAAAAATTATTCCGATATCGTGACCATACACGAACCTCTCTAAGAAAAAGAGAATATACAAACATATAAATCTATGAATTACATAAATTGCTCACCGCAAGACATTATAAAAATATTAAAATATATGGATGTAAAGAAATTTAATTTTGGCTTTATACCACAATACCCAATTAGAAAATTATTACGAAAAACAAAAATGACCAAAAACACCAATTTTAAATCAGCTTAACCTAATATATCTTATCTCAAGCAGTAATTGTGACAAGTCGTACATTGGGATGGCATCTAAAAAACCTCAAAATACGGATACGCAACCAAAAAAATAATTTAAAACTTGAATCTAAAACAAATACGGCCTTATCGAAAATCACACCGATGACTTAAGTTTTGAAAAACTCACAAACCTTCATCAGTCAAATTCGGGCCCAAAAAATGAAAATTATTGAAACCATCTACAATAAAAATAAATAAGCAAGATATTATGAATTCGAAAATATAATCAGCTAATATCTTAAGAGTAGGACGCCCTAGGATGCCAGGGCTGGATGGGGCAAGCGAGGACTCCAGGAATCTGTTAAATTCCCGAAACTGGAAGGCTGCGACACTGGACAGAGGCTATAGCGCTGGGAAAGGAGAAGAAAAGAATATCTTAAAGCAGTATAGCCAAATCATCAGATAAATATTTAAGTAAAAATAAATATAAATTAAACGAGTATTCCTTTTCGTTTCGTTTCGTTTGTTTCGATGTCTAGGATCAAAACATCCAGATCATCAGCGCCCGATCAACTAAATAACACTACTTTTATAATGTTTGGGTGGTTAGTACGAAAAATAAGAATAAAAAAAAGGGATAAAAAATAAATAAAAGGATTGATAGAATAAAATAAATAAATAAAAATGACAATAGACACTTATAGATAATAAGATAGAATAGATAAATAAACTTTAAAAAAAAATAGCAATAAGTACTCCTTTTAATTTGAGTTTAATTTTTAATGTAAGTATGTTTTGTGTGTGTATACATACCTTTTCTTCGTCTTTATTTATTTTTTTACTTTCCTTAACCTTTTTTTTACTTTCCTTAATATGTAATATATAGTAAGGGAAAGTATTGCTGTCGTGATTTTTTTTTGGGGTGGGGGTTATGGTAACGTTGGGGTGGGGGACTATAGTAAATAGACGATAATTCATGCTCAAAGCCCAGAGTTCGGCCAGGTTTGGGCAAATAATGTCTTCTCTACCCCGATAGTAAGTAGCACTGCAACTAATTATCATTTTCAATTGATTGGCAATAGATGTGATTATCACTAAACAATATCTACTACCACCACTATTATTTTTCATTTTAACCCACAGATATATTTTAAACGAAACATTCAATCAATAATTGAAAAGAAAAAATAATTTTTGAAAGAAACAACAATTTCCAAGTGGATGGGTTCAGATTAGTAATAGTTATGTAGAATTTTCCGATCCGGGTGACAATTAGAAATTGTGATGTATGATGTATTATTGTAGATTTATGCATGTTGATGTTTTAGATGACATGGTGAAATTGATCAAAAGGTATTTTTTATATTTCAATGTAAAAGAACTTTGAATCTGGAAAATGTTTAAAGGTAAGCAGTCAAACTGTCCTTGTTATTTTTATTTAGTTCTCAATTCCTGGTCTCATTTCATTGCAATTATTTCTTGTATACTAATCACCGAAACGACACAAGCAGATGGTAGAATTATTATAAATTTACTTAATCATTGTAAATCACTTCATAAAATCGGGAAAAATAGCTGGAAGAAGTAATATAATTGAGAATGATTTCATTCATAATCAGCTATGGACTGACGCGATCTAAACCTCATACCGGCAGCCCAAAAACATCCATACCAGTTGATGAGAATGGCGTAGATACGGCGCATTTTATTTGCTTTTAATATATGTTGTTCAAAGCAGATTTTTAGAAAAGATTCAGATTGCATCAGATTACAAAATCTTTTCACAGACATCGATATGTATGTATATGTATATATATATATATATATATATATATATATAAACCTGTGCCACTACAAACCTTGAATGGTCTTGGGTTCAGTATTATTTAGGGAAAGCACTGTTTCTAGGTCAACGGTTGTGCAAGGAGGTGATTTGACCGAGATCACGCTCATCCGCCAGGTTTTCCCTCTCTTCTCAATTATTTAATTAAGAGTAACCTCTTTATAGAGGCTGGGTGTGCCCCAGGAGGGTCTTCCGACCCAGGGTCACCACACGGCCAATGAAACAGATAAATAAACTTTCTGTCATGAGCTGGGGTTCGAATCTGGGACCTTTAGCATTGGAAGCTCAGTACCCTACCACTGAGCTACCCCACTCCCTTATATATGTATATATATATATATATATATATATATATATATATATATATATATATATCAAAACGTTAAAATGTTTTTATTTTTTACAAACTTGCAAAAGATTATGAATTTAGTGAGGTTTTATAAAGCTTTAAAATTAAGATATTTTTTGAAAGCTGTTGATGTTTTAAAATCACACGGACACTAGACAGCACAGAAAAAAGTGTTTTCACCAACCAAACGAAAATGTTAAACTGGCCTAAAAGTCAATTTCATCAAACAGATGGCTTTTGGAGAAGTGTTGTTTTTACATATCAGAGAAAATTCGCGCTATCCAGGAAAAGGCCACTTCAAAGAATGTACGGGAAAACATTTAAATTCTAACGTAAAAAAAAAAATGATTTTTAATAAGGTATATGAAAATCTGACGGCTTTTCTCTCTAAAATTCTTTTTATTTATTTATGATGCTTCTGGATTTTTTTTATCCTATCTTCAGACAGTAGTAGGAAACATTTATATGTATATATCTAAACAAATATATTTTTAATTTATCACATTAATATTTATTTGCTAATCTTACCTATTGTATTATCTTTATATAATCTCATTTAACCATAAGATTGGCACTATTTTTAATATAAAACAATTTCTAAAAAATGTAATAGATTCTATATATATATATATATATATATATATATATATATTCTATGTATATATATATTTATATATATATATATATATATATATATATAAATATATATATATACATAGAATATATATATATAGAATCTATTACATTTTTTAGAAATTGTTTTATATTAAAAATATATATATATATATATATATATATATATAAAATATATAGATATTTATATATATATATATATATATATATATATATATATATATATATATATATATATATATACATATATATATATTTATATATATGTATATATATATTGATATAATTTTATTAATTCTGTTTTAAAAAATATTAATTTCAGAGTGGACCCTTCTCTTAAGTCAACACTGTTATATTTAAGAATTTAAAGCCAAATTCCAAAAGATCTACTAATTCATATATTTAATCTGTTAATTATATGTGTGTAATGGCTTCCTGTTGATTATTTTTAATGATTTGGATATGTTTTGTTTAGGAAAAGTGGGTTATATCAGTAGAACAATGGACAGAATTAAATATGTTAAAATTTAAATACTACGTTTGAAATAAAAAAAAGGAGAAAATGGGTATTAAGAAAAACTGTATCATCAACCCATTCATTTGCTGATAGAAAGCAGTCGATTCAGGAAAAAATTGCTAAAGAATTTTTCTCGACGGATTTTTGAGGTGCTAAACCTGAAAATCCAGTTATCAACTAGATTCGGAGATATGGCTTCACCATAAAAATGACAAAAAACATAAAATTTCGGGAGTTATTTCAGTTTTTAGCTTATAACTCCGAAAAGATGCATCCTAGGGAAAAACAAGTTGTATAAAATAGAAAGAAGATAAAATTTTCTAAAACTTAAATCAAGAAACATCTCTCTACCTTTTTCGTTTGGCCGCTAGAGCGCGATGAAGATTGACCATAGTTTTCAAGTTATCAAAAATCTTCGTATTTCAGGCTTTCAAAGTCTTGCGATATACACTTATATATATGCACACATTCTATATATATACACACTTACGAGCGTATATCTTCAACAATTATAGCCGCTGCTGCCGTAACTATACAAAGTCCTTCTTCGGCTACTAACGACGCTTTTTGATCTATTATATCCTAAATTGATCGATTAGGAAACTTTAGATTATACTTTTTATTAAATCAATGTATTTTTCAATTTCCACGTTGACCATTTTATATTGCATCATAAATAAAATTACAAATTGTGATATACATTCATATTTAACTTATTTACCAATAGAAGGATTTCAATTATTTTTTTTTTGTGTTTATGTTTATTATGACGTTTCGGGATCTACTTTAATATCCCATCTTCAGACTAGAAATTAGAATATTTTCGTTATTTGTATTTTTATACAATCAATATAATATTTTTTATATAACTTTAAACAACAATAACAAAATTTTCCAATCTTACCAGTGTCCACATCCTGTATCCTCTTATTTTTTTTTATAAGATTTGTTATAATTATTTATTTTAATTCTTTATTGTCATATTTCATTCCTAAAATGCAATAATTTTATGTTTTTATTTATTTTATTATTCCTATTTTTAGGTATGTAGTTAGTTTCTATAATGAATTTATTACCTTGAAATTATAATGTTGTCTCCTCTAGGGAGAGCCAAGTAAGATACTGAATCAAACCACGAGCAACGGGTCAAATTCCATTGCTTCTATTTATTTTTATATATTTAATTTGTTATAAATTAAGATTAATTTCATTTTCTGACAAAATGAAATTTACGGATGATTAAGAATAACATTAATAAACCTTTTTCGGGAAGAGAATCGAGCATATGAAGCTCGCCTTTTCTTCAAAGAGGTCTGGGTTTCGATATAATATACGAATCCATATAATATAATAGTTTATTACTTTTCCACCTATACTAGGTAAAGTATTGTGATCGGGTCAAATTTTCGATATGCGGTTTCCGACGGATCTGTACATTTCAGAGCCCCCTGAGTCCGAAAAACACATTTTTAGCCATTGGTCTGTCTGTGCCAAGATTTTTTTCGAGAACTAGTAAACCGATTTTGTTGCCTTTTTTTTTTACTACTGATGCCTGTGACCACAGTGGCTGAAGCCCCGCCAAAATGGCAAAATATAAACATATATTATTGTTGACTCATTCACATTTAATAGGACTTAAATAATCACTTAAACACCATTTCATATAGGTACTGAGTTTATTTCTTCCTTCCGAAATAATTATCGTAATATATCTTTCGCGCTGAAGCCCCCTCCCCAAAATTAAATCCTGAATCCGTTAGTGCCTGCGACACAAATTGGGTGCTCCTTGCGCAATAAGTGAAAATCATATTTTACTATATACTGTAGCAAAAAACGGCTCTAACGATTTTGATGAAAATGTTCTACAATGTTCTACTGATTGTCCTTTCAATTTCCGTACATGTACTAAATTCCCAAGAAAATTGAGGAAAAAAAGTTATAAAAAAAAGAAAAAGTGCCTAACTCGCTAAGTATATATTCTATGGTAAAATTTATGTTATAACTTTTGAAAGACAATCAAATTCCCTACAAAACTATATAAAAATCGTTTTTCCCCGACCAGTATTAACGACGTTATAGCTATTCAATTTCGTATGTAAGATTACGGGTTTATATCCTGGTGTCAGAAAGGGCTGAATGAGAGAGAAAAAAAAACTATGTGAAAGTAAGAAAATCTGTTGCCCGCATCACACAAGCTTCACTATTTCCTCTATGTTTAACAGAAATTATTGTGTCACAAAATTAGGCTATGGCAAAAAGTTTTTGAATAGCAATATTAGAGGGTATGGAAATTTTCATACTGATCTACCACAAGCCTGTTTACATTGCTTTGGTTTATCAAAGAAATCGTACTCAAATATTTTCTTTGACCAATTTTCAAAAATATTAATTTTTTTTTTGCTTCTTAATGGACATATTTAAAGATATAAAAACCTTTCTGAAATAGGTCGTGAAGGAACGTTCTTGTGGGTGGACACACCAGATTTTTAAAAAATTAAATCTACTGAGGTGTTTGCCAAAATCGTTTTTGGAACCATTCGATTCGCAAATGACAGTCAATATAGGCTTTTAGGAATGATTAAGAAGAAAATTAATATACCTCTTTCGGAGATAGAATGGAGATATAATCTTCATAAATAAATCTCGCCTTCTCTTCAATGAGGTCGGGATTTCCTTCCCGCTTGAGTTCCTCGCAAGCTAGCCAAAAAAGAATGTTTTCTTCACTGTATTCACATCTCAGGAACTCCCGGAAAACTTTACGTCCAGCTGAAAATTAAATTAATTTACTATTTTACATGGTCTGTAATGCCAACAGAAAAAAAAATTAATAATAAAAAATAAGTAATACAGACATTATGTAGTAGCACTGCCTTAGAAATAAAATTCACTGGTAGCTAAAAAGTATACTAGTGGAAAAACAAAGGTAATGATACCTAACTTTGGAATCATACTTACCTATGATTACAGAGGTATCATGACATGTTTATACAAAATCTACGTCGCTGTTTTGTTTTAATAGCTTTGTTAACAATTACATATTTTCGAATTCTCACATTCCTTAAAAGGAATAAGGGATAAGTAGATATAAATAGAGGTTTCTGCTCCCCTCTCCTCCACCATCTAAGCCCTAAGCCCTAAGCCTTCATCCAATAAGTCTCTAGCCTCAACATCAAGCGTAAGTCTTAACCCTAAAGCATAAGCTCTTTATTGTTACTTAAATATCGATATACCTGTAACAATCTGCTTAGAAATGGTACAAAATGGGATGTTAGAAAGTCTTTATAAAATTGATTATCTTATGTAAATTTGATATGCTGTAACGGTGTTCCAGCTATTATTCACCAAATCACAACAATTTAAGCATATGTATTTGTTTATAAAGGTGCAGTAAAGGATAAAACATTGAAAAGATATTTTTACCATTTCAACTACCTAAGACATTTTTTTTTTTAATTTCCAAATCTCATTATATTTGCACGTTTTAAAAATATCTTACCAAAAATCGAGGTGCATCCTTCAAACATCAATTTTATATGGAAGAAGTTAAATATTATATAAATAAATATTTATATTAATTATATAAATATTATTAGAATTTAGTTTTTCGCACACTGATTTAATAAGTTTTAATACCTACGTTACCGACTCTTACAATTTTATTTATTTTTGAACATTAAAGTCTCCTGCACCTCAACAACTGGCGTACTGTAAAAATGATTGGCTGGGCGGTTTGTAAAAATGGAGGACCTATTTACCCGAACAGGATTTCTTGTGTGCTGATGAGGATTTGGGTACCGAATTCTCTATTCAAGTTGTGCTACTCTACGTACCTAAAATGATGCAAAGTTTCATAATTATCGATCCACTCCTTCAAAAGTTTTTGTGGACAGCTATTCGTCCATATTTCTAGAAAAAGCGGATGTGGGCTGAGTTGATGATTGTTCATGAAATTTCTAGTGATCATCCTCTCCCCAATTATCCAAGACGAAAAAAATTCGGATTATTTATCCCAACATAATAATAGTACAAATACCAGTACCATTTATTATATTTTTCATTTACATGGCCTTCGGAGGATAATCAGAAGAAAAGTTCTCAACCATATAATGCATAGACAAATAACTGATAATCGTAAATTTAGGCTATTAGAGTTTGAACTGGTTTCGTACAATGCGCCCAATACCAGTTAAATATATGTAATAACAGTTCCATATGATACTATGTAACCAGTTCAAACTCTAATACTTCCACTATCTAAAGGAATTTGAATATTTAAAACATATATATATATATATATATATATATATATATATATATATATATATATATATTTATATATAAATTTAGTGCATCTAGCATGTTAATCAGAAACGTTAGTTAACGTCAACTGGTGTTGTTAACTTATATCCTTGCTTAAGACAGATTAAAAAATATTATTATTCTATACATCAGTATTTATTCCATAATTAACCCACAGGCGGATACTTTTCATTCTCATTGGGTGTGGGGTAGGGGAGATGGACCAAAAATATGTCTCAGGATTTTATATTATGTATTAAAATTATGAATGATAATTAACATAATGATCGTAAAACTAACAACATTATATGCACAATATAAATTAAACAACATAATTAGCATTGAATATAAACTAAAATTTCAACAACTGTGACCACAGGCGGATTTACGGTGGGCTTTCAGGCTGAAGCCTCATGGTGAAATGGTAGAATGGTAAAACTGAAGCCTAAAATGGTAAAATATAACCATGTTTTATGGTAAACAATTGTGTCTTAAAGTATTATTGCTCGTTTAATTAACTTTAACATGAATTCAAGAATCACTTAAACACCATTTCATATAGGTAGTTAGAATCTTTCTGTTTTCCCAAAGAAATTATCGTTATTTATATGAAAAAAAAGCTTTCGGGCTGAAGTCCCCCCCAAAATCAAATCCTGGATATAATTATATTTAATACATACACTTTTTCTTATTTCATTTTCAATATTTAAGATTTATTTCCTTGAAAATAACAACTGTTTACTAAAATAAAGTTAAATAATAAAAAACTCGTTACTACTCGTTGTCTATCTTACGTAGTCTATAAAATGGTAATTTTTAAAAATATTTATATAGGAGTCCTTCGCGCATCGGTCGCACAGTAGCTCTTGAGAGTCATCATAGACTGTTGCTGCTTGCTTATTTAACATGTATAAATAAATAACATACATATAAATAATGTATAAATTATATCTTGAAATTTATAATTATATTTAATAAATACACTTTTTCTTATTTCATTTTCAATATTTAAGATTTATTTCTCTGAAAATAACAACTGTTTACTAAAATAAAGATAAATAATAAAAAACTCGTTACATACTAAGGGCTACCTACCATATCCCCTTGCTACCATATCTTCACTCTATTCCAGCGATCTCTTGGAACAGCCCTGATGAAGGCCTGAACTTCAGGTCGAAACGTCGGCAAATGTTAAAATAAATATTATTATTTATTTTTGCCTTTTTATTTCTGTTTGATCACCCCAATCATCCTTCTCTTCATTATTCACGACAGTTAACCATTAAACCACAATTAATTGTTATTGATTTTGATTTTTTTTCTTTTTTGATATTGGGGGAGGGTGCAAACGATTTTCTCACCCCCTCTCTATTTATATTGGAAATCTGCGAATCTCCTCCCCCCGAAGTCTGCGCCAATGAATCAACTGATTACGTGCAAAATGCAACAAAATGCAACAAAATGCATTTATTTATTCTATCAAACTTTCGACATAGAATCTAGACTTTTATTAGGGTCATAATAATAAAAAAAAATCATTAACACCGCGGGTGATCAATAATTTATGTAAACAAAAGTCTACTTGGAACATTTAATTTTTAGTTGTTTCTGATGAAACAGAATAATTGTGATGCAGCAAAATCCAATGTTAACCTTGTACCTCTTACGCAATATTTTCTTCTGAAGTGGTTTTCTGATAAATTATTTTTCCTTTCATTGAAATTTTTTTATTTAGATGAGGAAAACAGCATTTTTTCACCAAAGGAGATTGAAATAAAACAACTAATGTACTACTTAAAATTGATATCATATGATACATGATATAATTTTTTTTAAAATACATTTCTTTAATAAGTAATATTACATTTAGTCACATTTAAGGACAGTAGTAATAGTGATAGAGTAGGTCATTCAAATAATGAAAAACAAAAAAGTTACCTGAGTTTCGCATTAATTTGTCGAAGGATTTTCCCCAGCACCGGATTTCATCCAACGAGGGTCTAAAAAAAAATGTATATATACATATAAATATATTATTAATTAACATGTTAGAATCAATAATTATACATAACAAGACATTGATATACATAACTTATATATTCATTTCCTGTTCACTCAAGTTCTAAAATTCGAACTGTGAAAATTATAATTCAGAATCACCTATCTAAATGACGCACTATTATTATTAAAAATGATATATTTCGATTGAGATGTAGCTTTTCTTATAACAACATAGTACAAGCTCTTAGTATTTAGGACCTAAAAAGAATTCAGAATCGCGATTTAGAAAAGATAAAATAAAAATGAAATCTTTAAAATAAATTATCGGTTTAAAACTCCTGTTACTAAGTAAATCTACTAGAAACAATTATTATAACAATTTTATGCGATAAAAAAATATGGAGAATTTTAATTTAAAATTATTTCAGGATTTAAAATTTTATTTATCTTTAAGGAGGGGGGGGGGAGGGTGTTCACCCAAATGAAATAAAATTTGCCCTAGGCATTTGCCTGGACTGTAGTGATACAGGTAAACATAATTATATATACAGGTAAATACAGGTAAACATATTATATATACAGGTAAATACATAATTATTACTGTTATTTAAAAAAAAAAAAATAGTAATTTTTTACCGTTTAAATGTATTGCTTAGCCATTGTTTCCTTCTAATTATTAGGTTAAACCATGCTTTGGGGTGGTCAGATTATACATGGATAAATCTTTAAATCGATATGGAATAATATTCCGCCGTACAGACCCAATATGTTATCAAAATCCGCCCAAAACTTCTTGAGCAGCTTCTCCTTATCGTAACCCAGGGGTGTCCAGAAGGGGGTTTCATGGTGCCATCAAACTTTTTAATGGGTCACATTTCGACAGGATTATGGTTTTTCAGAGTGAAAAACTTGAATCCAGGGAACAAGGGGAAAAGATGGATCAGACCACCGTAAGTGTATTTGTATATGATATGAGATTATTTTAAATTTTACTTTCGCATGTTTTCTGTTTTTAAAAAGAGGGGAGCAAAACCATTTCTTGGGAAGGAGGGGAAGTTGATGCGCCATCGACCTTGGGGAGGATGAGCACACCTGTCGTAACCTGAGACGTTTTTATCTGAAAAAAATCTCATAAATGGGTCATTTACTTATTAAATCAATTAATTTAACGAAGTACTCATGAATACTCATTTAATTTCCTCTTGAATCATTAGATTATTAATTACAAACTTGTAAAAAAAATATTGGGCTGTTGGCTTGTATAACCTAGTTATTTTGACATGTTGGGGGTGGAAGTCGCGTCAAACTCCTGATATTTTTGTCGGCCACCTGTTTTTATCGATTTTGTGATCGAATTATCTTATACGATGCTAGGAGAAAGAAAAATGGGTGTTGATCAGTTTTTATACTTCATTAAATAGACAAAGCTTCCTTAATTTTCCATAAATGAAGAAGCTTTAGATCAAGATAAGGTGAAGCCATTAATGAAGTTTTAGATGGATGTTAATGATTTGATAATGAGTGGTCTTAACCGCGGTCTATGAGGAGAATTCCTTACTAATTATAAGTTTTATAAAATTTTTCTTTATCAGCAGCTAAGTTCATTTAACTAAAAATAGGTTTATAAAAACATCGAGCTTCGCAGTAACAAACAATAACTTGCGGTCATAATTTCTGTTCTGACAGAAACTGGGGGATGGGAAACTTTAATGACTAATATTAAAGTTAAACGTTTTGTAATTAGTTTGGAACTATAATTGAATGTATTTCAAGGTCCTTGAGGCAAAAATAGACAACGAGTCTGTTGATTGATGAAATCCGATAACAAGAGCCTGTAACATGCGGGGGTGGCTTAGACTATTTTAACAGGTTTCGATTTTATGAGAATAACTTCTCTCGTGAGCCGTGATGGCGTAATTAATTTTTCCTTATTATTAAAAAGAAAATAACTAAAAAAAGAATGTTTCCTTTAAATTGAGTAAAGAAAAAACACTTAGCTGCGAAACGTACTAGCCAGTATAATTCAATAAATCACCTTGAGTTTATATGAAACTAATCAATGTTTAAGTAACGATTTTTCATAACGGGGTAGTAACTGGAACGGTATTCAAAATTTTAACAGTTCCACCTTAAAAAATTATCAATAATCACTTGGCTGTAACGCATCGCTAGGGTCTTGAGGGGACTTGACATATATTTTTGATATGGATTAATTATGGTAGTAACAGGTGGCTTTATAAAAAAATATAATGAAATGATGATTTTTCTTTTTCACTCTGCACTATATTTTATTAAATAATGAATACTTTTGTCATGAAATAACTATGGTGGAGGTAGATTTCAAGATTATACAAAAGAAAAATAGCAAATAAAATATTCAATGAAAACCAAATTTTGGATGCTGAAGATAGGATTTCTTCGAAGCTACAAAGAACATGATACAATATAGATAAAAATCATAAAAATATATTAAATGAATTTATATAAACGGTAAAAAAAAAGATTATAATAAAAAATATTTCCTCTGGTCAATCGTTTTAAAATTTTTTTTTAACGATATTTACAACTGTATTAAAGAAATAAATTTAGTAAATTTGAACATATGGATATCATGACGTGAAAACACTTGCTGAGAAACTACCCAATGGTAACACTCTAATGATATGCCTACATTAGGAGATCACGGGGCCATCTTCTTTTCAGACGCCTCGGAGGGTTATCAGGAATTGAAGATGAAGCAAGGTTAGAAACGAGAGAATTGGGATGATTCTGAAGTTTATTATGGAAGGATAGGTATCTGGATTGGGCCAGATCTGAAACATCAGACATTAACATTAAGGTCATTATGGATGGCTTTATTAATTGTAACAAAGTAGGGAGCATTGAGGATTTTACGAAGTATTTTGGATTGTAAGGATTGGATTACTAGAGGATGGTTTAGTGGAACCCAATAGCTCAACTCCGTAAGTCCAAATTGGCCTTATTATAGTCATGTATATGAGTATTTTGTAATTAATTGGAATTTATCTTTAGCAGTCCTGTTTCTACGTCATACACTTTAAGGTCATTTTCGATAAAAATTTACATTTGTATATCAAAGACGGTTGTTGGTGAATTATTTGACATAGTTACTCATCATGTTTTTTTAATTTATTTATCGAGTAATATAAAAGTCTATCTATTACAATAGTTATAGAGAGGTAAGACAACATTGACGCAATATATATATATATACATAAAAAGGCACATGATATTAATGTGAGTTATGTATTATTGAAATTTTACATCAGTGCAACATATTTCTATACCAAAAAAAAAAAAAAAAAAGAAAGATAAATGTTTTGAGCACTTACAGTGGTTCATTACTTTCACAGAAAAGTAAGGATTGGTCAAGAATGCCGGATTCCTTCCGTTTTCTGCATCCGGCGTTATTTCCTTTGACCGCCAGGCTGAAACGGGAAAAAATATTTATTTATCTTCATGATCAATTAAATAATCAAATATTAAAAATAAATTTTAGATAGATAGTTTATTGGTAATATATACATCTTTTAGCCATGGAATTTTGTCCATTTGATATTAGTAGTTGTTGTTAGTATGACAATTAAAGCATATATAAGCATATTTCCTCCCTGTTTTTATAATACAAGTAGCATTCTTATGAAAAAGTTTCAACTTTTCAGTATCGGAAATTCTTAATTTTATAAGAATAAATTTTAGAATAAACTTATAATTGCTGGGTAATCTCTAATTTTTCACCAGTGTCAAAAAAAAAAAAAAAAAAAAAAAAAAATAATGGCTCATTGTGATAATGTATGAAGAAATAATTATTTATGTTTGAACAATAGACATTTGTTTTTAACGATTTGGGATAAAACATGAATGGATATGAATGCTAAAATAATACTAGGTAATAGAGTTTTATTCATAATTCAAAATTGTAATGATAAATATCACAGATATAATCAAATCTTAGAACTGAAATTTTTAATTAAAAAGGTCTTGCGTTTTTAATCACGAAAATGAGTAGTCAATCAATCAATCATTAATCGCGAAAAGTTATTCTTGTAAAATTAAACTTCTTCACCGATCATTTTTTACAATCCTACAAATCTTTTACTGATTAGCTAACTTTTTTTTTTTGTAAAGTTTCACAAATTTTGAGCATGACGTTCAAAGGATATTTCAATATAATATTGTGATAGCTATATTTGAAATTCTCTCTCTCTCTCTCTCTCTCTCTCTGGAATAGAGGGAGATGATCACGGACTTTTTAGACCCATTTACACGGCTACGTTTCTTCATTAAATTGATATTAATACGTTTTGTAGTTATCATGTTTCTCTCTAATTAAGCTGATCAATTAAGTTTGGTCAATCAATGAAGTGAAATTGAAATTTTATACATTTACTCTCTGCATTTCCCTCTGCATGCGCCCAACAGATAGTCCCTATCTCCCTCTCTTTGGTGGTGTCGGCATTAAAGTTGTAACAAAATAAGTACCTATTCTTAAGTACTTTCAAACTTATATTTATTTAAAAAAAAAAAACTAATTATTGATTAGGAAACTTCAGATAATACCTTTTATTAAATTTATGTTTGAATTTTAATATGTTGTACCAATTTACATAGAGCTTTGGTTTGAAATTTACTATGAAATGGAATAAAAAAGTTATTGTATCACGTGAACGGTTTGGATTTAAGTTTGATAAAAAAGTATTGCTTCTCGACTAACAGTTAGGGTACAGATGAGGATGATGTGGTCGGTACTTTCACTCATAACCAGAAAGCTTCCCTCTCTCCCTCTCTCCCCCCCCGTCCCCCCGCTGTACCCATTAAAGGTTCAGGTACTCACTTTGTAGAGGCTGGATTTGGATGCGCATCAAGTGGGTGGAATTATCGTTAAGAGGCTCAGCGGAATCCGGGATAAAAAAAAGGGAAAAAAATAAAGAATAAACATAACAGCAGATCCCAACCTAAAAATTGTCTTTGGGTTTCTAAACCTGGTCACGTAGATTCAAAGTTATGGTGTTGCTCGTTATATCCGGGTTAGGTTGTTGGCTCTATCGCGTATAACGGCTCATTTATCCGAGATAAAATTATTTAAAATGCAATAATTTAGGGTACGTGCACGAATTAGATTCTAAAGATGGGATTTCAAGAATATACATTTATTATTATTATCGTGGTAATGCAGAAAACAGAAACGACCGTTCCAATCTTCCTAATTCTTTTTTTCCTCAAAGTATTATCTAAGTTTGTTATCTACATTATTCTATTGAAGGATTATTTGTAGATTCTTATTGGATTAGAAAGGTAAAGTACAACTTTAGTCTGTCCTTTGAACTGCAATTTTTGCACAATTTTCAATGTTTCTTTTGTATAAAATAATATTACCTTAAATATACTTTCCTCATAGAAGTCATTATTCTACAGGAATCATTCGACATCTTTTCATTGCATATATTTATTAGTTTAATGCAATGGAATAGAATACTATATTATAAAAATATATAATTTTTTAGAATGCAAAAGTATAAGAGAATAATTAAAACATATTTTGAAATTATTTAGTTAAACAATAAAGTTGAAAGTGTGACCAAGATCCCCCCACAAAAAAATTGTCTTTTATTATGCGATTTTAGATTGATTAATTTTTTTCTCTATAACTTAAGATTAAATGAGAGAAATTGTACGATAGGAACTACCTGTAGACAAAAATGTAAAAAAAATCTGTGAATTTAAGTTCTCAAGTTATGACAAAGTTAGTACTTATTCACAATTACATTCAAACTTAATCCTAATTAAATTATTAATAATTGATGGTTGACTGTAGAGAATAATTGATGAGAAGGATGATTGGGATGATCAGTGAAATTAAAATAGCAAAAATAAATAATAATATTTACTTTTACATTTGCCGACGTTTCGGCCGAGGTTCAGGCCTTCATCAGGGCTGTTCAATCCAACAGGCGTGGACAGACATTTCGCCTGTGTTCGGAGAAGAAAATATTAATGGTTTTATCGGCATCGAACCTTCAGGAATAAAGAGGATGAACCACATTCCTTTTTTTTATATGAAAAATGAAATTTATTTATTGTGATTTTTTTTTTATTAGCTATAACCATGAAAGGTACTCAAGGAACTACCTGTAGAAAAAATATTTAAAAAATCTTTGAATTCGTTTACTCAAGTTATGACAAAATTATTAATTATTCTTAATTACTTTCAAACTTATAATTATTTTTTGAAATTTAATTCTGATTAAGTTATTGATTAGAAAAGTTCAGATAATAACTTTTATTGAATTAATGTTAGAATCTAATGTGTTTTCCAGTTTACACATTGAACCATTCCATATAGAGTTTTGGTTCTAAACCTCGTCACGTAGATTCAAATGTAATTGCTATTTTTATCCGAGGATAGGATATCGACTCTATCGCGTATAACGGCTCATTTCTATGAGAGAAAGTCCTATTAACTGTAATTAGACGAACAACAATACTTTCAAAGATAATCTTTTCGATTAAAACATGGTTATATTTTAGCATTTGAGGGGGGGGGGGAGGCTTCAGCCCGAAAGCCCCCCCCCCGTAGTGTGTATAAGGATTGTGTTCGAAATGTTCGTGAATATCCTCGTTTCGATAGCGTTCGGTGAAGAAAATATTAATGCTTTTATCGGCTTCGAACCTTCAGGAATAAAGAGGATGAACGACATTCCTATCTTTCATATAAAAAATGAAATTAATTTAATGCGACTTTTTTTATTTTCGCTATAAGGAGAAGAAAGAAAGAAAATCATAGCCACGGTAAAAGAACTGAATTAAAAAATCACCTCAGGTACGATAGGAACAACCTGAAGGTAAAATGTGGAAAAATCTCGTAAAGATAGCGCGCCTACCAATAAAGAAACACGAAATATAGAAATGCAAATAGGAAGAATTTCAGATAAACCCCGTTTTTATAGATGGAAAAGTAGAAGAGTCAAGTTCGAAAGGTGAAACACGTGGACTTAGCGAGATTACTTATAAAGGAAAGGTAAAGGAGGACTTAAAAAGTTGTTGGCCCTCCCTCATGAGAATTTAGACGTAAAGTATAGCCGGCAATAAAGGTTATAGGACTGGAGAGAAACGGAGAAGACCGAAGTAGGGAGAATAAACCTCCGAAACGTCAATATAACTTGACCTAACTTGATTATAAAATTATTGACTCAGAAGAAAAAAAATATTTTAATTTTTAAAATTATAATAAACGAAATATTTTTTTCTGTGATAAAACCTCCATTCCAGCTAGTGGAAATGGATGAAACGCTCGCTTAAACGTCCTCTCGAAGTGTAATTGTAAATATTTTTGTTTGCTAAACCTTGTCTTGAAGTTAACCTTTTTTAATATATTAATGCAAGTTTACACATTTTAAAATTTAATTAAATTCCTTTTAGTTTAAAAAAGTCGAATTTAAGAAATCATTATCCTTTTTTAGTGACAATTTCTACAATATAGATGAATTATTGCAATAAAGCGTGAAACGGTGTACAAAAGTAATAAAGCATTATTTCTTTATGTATATATATATATATATATATATATATATATATATATATATATATATATATATATATATACATACATCTTATTCTATTGGAAACAATATATTTCGCCTTAATTTAAGGCATTGAGTATTTGAGATGTGAGTGACTCATTCATACCATATATATAATAACAAAAACTTATATAAATTATAACAAAAGAAAGAAAAATAAAACTTACTAAAACAAAGGAAATAAAACATGAGACAACATAAATAATAATATATATATATATATATATATATATATATATATATATATATATATATATATATAAAAATCATACTTATTTATAAAAGCACTATTTAGCGCTTTACTTTTAAAGATGTTATTTCGAAAACTATAGTGCTCTAAACGGCATCATTATAGTTAAAAGTTCATAATTAGCATTAATTAAGCCATTTTG